GTGGGCAGTAGTACTGGAGATGAACCTCGAAATACCTTGACTCTACCTTGACTCAACTCGGGGTCGAACAGGGTCCACACTGCTGTTACTACCACAGTCGTCCCAATTATACATCTTCCTTGCTGGCATACTGCTTCTGACTCAACATACTCTATCCAAGGGGATACATTGCGAGGCACAAGGGTTGTCAGAAACAGGACTCATGACAGACTATAGGATATAAACTGGTTCTCACTTGGCTTCCGCCAACTAGTTCTCAACCCCACAAACCCATTTAGTGTTTTTTAGGATTCCGGGGTCAGGGTCTCAGTTTTTATTCTATTCTCCATTTGATGCCCATTATTCTGTCCATTTATCCTCATTCCCCCAAACCTTCAACCCTAAACCCTTACCTATATAAGCCCTAAGCGTGGAACTCTAGAGCATGTTTACTGCGTGCTGTTTGGGCTTTGGGCTTTGGGATTTGGGACTATGATCGTCTCCTCTTCTCCTGCAATCTGTAGAGAAAGGGACCCGCTTTGGCTCTTGGCTAAGACAATCCTACTTGGGAGCCCATGGGACTTAGTAACTACTTATAATTGGGCTCATAACCCTACTAATAATTGGGGGTAACCCCTATAAGTCCGTTTAGGGGGAGTATAAGCAAGGTTATAAGCCCAATTATAAGTAGTTGCTAAGTCCCATGGGCCTCCAAGTAGGGTGTTGGGCTAACTTGGTTTAGGGCCTTAAGGTTTAGGGTAAGGGGTAAATGGGCTTCGGGTTTAGAGTTTAGGGGAAGTTGGTTTAGGGCTTCGGCGGGCTCATTCAAGGCAGGATACATGCAGTTGACAATAAATATGGCCATCCAGCTGGCTTCAACTACCTCAAACTAAGCGACTTGCCCTAATACCACAAACCTGAACCCATGCCCTAAATCCGCTCCTAACAGCCTGGAAGCTTGAAAGTAAGATGCAGCAAAACCCCGAATCGAGGACCCTTCAAGATTATACCCTTAAGGGGGAAGCCCTTATGGACCTTGTAACTCCATGACCGTTATACGAGCCCTATATGAATGTTCTCAAAAGAGGGGTACCCACCCGGCAACTACCCAGCTGGGGCTAGGGCGCAGGTTAGGATTTTGACCTAGGGTAAACAGAATCAAGAAGCACTTTAAAAGGAGCTCTAGGAGGGCAAGTGCTCTTTGATTTCTTGGGTTAATATTCCTATTGTGGTCATAAAAATCCTAACCTGGACCCTAAACCCTAAACCCTATTGTGGTCATAAAATCCTAACCTGGAGTTTAGGATGTAGGGTCCAGGTTCGAACAGGCCGGCACCACTCGCTGAGTCGGCTTTGGCTTCAACGGAGGAAGCTCCTCCACAAAACCCTTCAAAAGCTTATCCCTAAGGCTCCAAATAGCCCAATGTAGGTCATATTTATAGACTTTGGGGCCAAATGTAGGGATTATTTATAGACATGGAGCCCTACGGTATGTATTTGTCCCTCCAAGGGCTGTATGTTTAGGGTTTAGGGTTTAGGGCTTTTATTGAAGGATCCCTTTGAGGGCTTCATACGCATTATCGAATAATCCTTTTGTAGGGCCCTGGACTAGAGTCACAGTGTACTGCTTACAGGTCCCAGCTAAGTCCCCTATACATCCCCCTGTAGGTCCCCCAACCTAACTTTAGTCCGTAGTTCATGTAAGTCTTAAGTACTGTATTTATAACAGTTTGTCATGGGTTTTCCATCTTCATCTGCCCATACACAAATTATGGACCCCCTATTGTCTCCCTTGATTTGATGGCTCCCATGCCCTTTGTTACCCCTTTTCGGGAACCCGCACAATTGCATGTTTTGGACCTGCCCTGTTCGCGAAGAAGTTCAACATGAATAGCTAGCAGTCTAGGCTCATGTAGCACTGCTGATGCAATCACTTCGTAGTCTTGAATTTGCTCTAGCTGCACCTCTTCCCTGACACTGACATCCCCACCCCACTGATAATCAACACTCTCCCTAACATATATTATGGTACCGCGTTGGGCGTATTTCTTTGTAGGCTGGGCATCACACGAGCAGATTGCCATTATCTTCGAAGTTTGTGCAGAGCAGCTCAAAGAGGAGACGATAACCCCAACAATTATACAGTAGTAGCTTCCATTTTCTTTTCCGTTATCCTTATATAACCCCAATAAAAACCCAATATGCTATCTACTTAGGGGGGACTATAGGTACAACCCTACAGCAAACCCAGTAGCATGACTATAGAACCTGTATCCTAGCATTGCTTCTCAACTTGGCACTTCCTTGCATGCAGTTCAAAGGTTTAGGGTGTAAGGTTTAGGGTTTAACCCTTAACCCCAAGCCCCAGACTCTAAACCCTTGTCTGGAGTGTTTGGCATCCTAGATTTCTGCACAAACGCTATTCGGTTTTTTTTTGCGACCTGCAGGAGAGGGAAGCTTGCCTCTTGCTGAGGAGGAATTAAGGAATGAGCATTGGGGCTACTATTTGGGTTGTTCTCAAAGATATGGGCCCTTTTGGTTGTAGCAAATATTGCGGCACCTAATATTTAAGGGTATCAAAATGGGATCCTACTTTTGGGAACTACCCCATTAGTATAGGACACCTTGAGGAATCCATTTCTCCATTCCATTCGCAAGCAGTATGTGAGCAGCATGTCAAAGGCGCGAAGGTAACGTGAAGGGGCGGTCCTCCGCTCCTTCAGCGCCCGTCCCTTCAACGTTCCGGCTCCGGGTACGGGAGGTTGCTTGCATAAAATGTGCAGCCATTGTATCTGTCCATGCCCCAGCTCCCAACCCACCACTTCCCCATCCAATGTGCCCACCTCGCTTTGTGACAGCAACATAGATCCGAGGATTCCTTCGCAACTCCTGGAAAGGCATGGTGTTATAGCTGATGACTGGGTCATCCTCTGACTGCACCACAAGGGTGGGAATTCTGATGTTGCCAAGGTGAGGGCGTGCGCTAATGGCTCTGTGGTACTCGGGAGCTGTGGCGTAACCGTGCAGTGGACAGATAGCAGCTTCATCGATGTCTGCAAGACTTCCGGCTGTAAGCACCTTCCTCATGTCTACAAGCTGTGCAAACTGGGACTTCCGTAGTTCATGGAGCATCAACAATTTCACGCCCGACGCAATGGCAAAACTCACAAGCTTTTTCCGGGCACTGGAGGTGAATGATTTCATCACAGCTTCCAGGTCCACCGGAGCTGCTACCGTGACCGCAGATGAAAACAGTGTATTGGCGCCAACTGCCCCCAAGTGGCGAAGTAAAATGGATCCACCCATAGAAAAACCGACGGCTGAAAATTCCGCCTCAGGACATGTCTTTGCGAGGTGGTTTTCCACATCTGGCATGTCGCGGAAGCAGTCGCCGCAGGCAATCTTGGGTGTCTTTAGCCTCAGCCCAGCAAGACCCCGGTAGTTCAAGGCAACCGCTTGAAAGCCTTCGCTCCGGAAATGCCGCATAGCACTTTGGATGAAACTGGTGTGGCTGTCATTGTTCAAGCCAGGTAACAGAACGACGACCTTGTTTGTGTTGACTGTTGGAGGCTCATACCAGTGCAGCGACATCGTACCTCCGTCTGACAAATCCAGGACCTCCATGTGGCCCCTCATATGCATGGAAGGCATGACGGCCCAAAAGCAGCTGTACACTGTGGAGACGTAACCGCTGAACTCCAAAACCTGGATTGCTGTTGAGGAACTTACGTTAAGTTGCCGTAATATGGGTATAAGGTAGATAATGGGTTTACTTTTTAAAAAACACCTAAACCCTAAACCCCGTATACCCTTAGTATAGGTTTAGTATAGTAACCTACTTTCAGTTCCTTCCAAACCCTAAACCTTGAACCCAGGAACTGGGTGTGGCCAGTAGTCTGTCAGCAGCAATTTTACCTCCTGCAGGAGCCGCTGATCCTCAGGGCGCACTGTAGGCCGTAAGGAAGAGGGGGTTGGTTTAGGGTCTAGGGTTTAGGGTGTAGGCTTAGGGTTTAGGCTTTAGGGCTTGGACTGTGCGGAATATATTTTGGGGAGACAATGTAGGGATCCAACCCAGGATTTCACTGCTGGACGCCAGGTAGCCTGTCCTCACAAACTTCAGAGTAAATGCGAAACCGTCAGCCCTACAAACCCCTTAGTCCACCCTACGCCAAAACTTCACAATCTAAACCCCAAGCCCTAAGCCCCAAACCCTTAACTAACATCCTCAGGGTGTTGTTCATCCACAGGGGAATGGTAAAGGACTGCTGGCCGCAACTCCTTACGGAGATATCGCCGCATGAGGGCTACCTGGAAGACAGTTGACTTACAGGGTCTAAGGGAATATACTTTCTTGCGGTTTTTCATGGGGATTTTTTCCCCTGATGCCAGTAAGTGTATCTAACATGGTTTGGGGAAACTGGGTTCGGCGTCTCAGGGTGTTAACGTAACTTGGGGAAAGAGTGGGGGGAGCGACTTCGGGTATCAACATTTCAGGATCAGAGGATATGGTGTAAGGTGCCCGGGCCCCAGCAAACATATGAGCCCATCAGATTTTTCACAGAGCTAGCAGCACACGGAAACGGGAAGGGGAGGGAGTGTGCCACAAATGGTGTTGCAACATGCACCATGCTATGAAATGCTGTATCTAAGCGAGCTACGGTGGCGTTTAGCGCCGCAGACTTGAGGGATTTAGCGCTGAGGGGGTCGTCCTCCAACGTTTTTGGATATATGGGGGCCATGGGGGGCCGGGCATTAAACGAATCTTGTTTGGCAGCCTCAAGACTATCGGTCACATGGAAGATCCCACGCTGGCCAGCGACACAACCACAACGACGAACACTCGTCCAAGGAGGATCCCCTTCTCCGACCAGCGTGTGCTATTGGAGCCTAACATGTCTTATAAGGAGCCTAACCCTAGGGCTCTATGGACTGATATTTGAGGAGTTTGAGCCCAAAGATTTTACTATAAAACGGCTTTGGGCTATTTTGAGCCTTAAGGTAACAAGGGCAAATTAAGGAGCCTTTCATGTCCAATAACCCATTCTCGGATGAAGTTCCAACCTTGACGCCTACACCCTAAAACTCAGGAAACTAAACCACATGAAGCCGCTAAGAGCCTAAAACATTTAAGGTTTAGGGCTTGTATGATCCTGAAGCCCCTGAGCCTTGAAATCCCTGCAGGCTTCACTCCCTAAACCCTAAACCCTCAACACTAAACGCCATTCCCAAGCCCAGCCACTGCCAGTGATGTCGCACTGGAGGCGCCCAGGAAGGCAGCAACAGCCAAATCCCGGCCGGGGGAGGCCATGGTCTTGTAATGTAAGGTTTTTTGGGTTTAGGATTTGGTGTTTAAGGTTTAGAGTTTAATCTTACTACTGTTTTACTACCAAGCCATTTGCTACAAAGGTTGCGACTGTTATTGTTTTTGACTCTAAAGCCAGCAAGGTTTTGGAGAATCACATGGGCAACAAGTGGGCAACGAAATGGACAACTGTATATGAGGGTTACTGTAAAGATGGAAGGGTGTATATGAGGGTTACCGTAGGAGCCTACATTATTAGAATAATGAGCGATCAAATGCAAAGATAGTGGACAATCAAATGCAAACTGGACTTTCGTGTAGTGTAGGAGACCCAAAAAATTCAGGTACATGATGCTATGCTTGAGTGGGGAACCCTTAACCCTAAACCCTGAACGACGGGAATATAAATGGAAGAGTAACGTGCAGGCATCGAGAACCTGTCATTTCTTGACGTCTCCAGCTCAGAAAAAGCATGCGTGCACCTAGATTTCTCAACAGCATGATTACGCTTAGGGTTTAGGGTTCAGGGTCAGGGGTTGGGATCCTCCCCAACCCAACCATGGAACCCTAACAAATGGCTGTGAAGTCTGTTGTCGTCTAGAAAGGTACCTTGGAGTTCCATGTTAGTCTAGGTTCCCCAGTAACCCCATAATAATAAGGGTACCCTTTTTCCTAATATTCAGCTTTAATAAGGAGACCCCACATTGAAAGGGCAAAAGGGTACTACTGGAGTTTGGAGCAATAAGAAATTCCAAGCCCTTGCCCTCAACTCGGCTTTGCAGGCGTCGGGGGCTGTGCTACTTTGGATACCAAAAGTTGACCCCAAGAACCCTACATCCTGGCAGTTGTGGTACTAAGGTCCTTACATTACAGAGCGTAGAATAGCCTATAAGCCCCCATATACAACCGGTTTCCATTTCTTTCGCAACTGTCTTTTCCAATTGGTTTTCCAGTATTGGGGTAGAATCTCTAATCCCTTACCCTAAGCCCTAAACCCTAAAGCCCTAAAACTACCGCATGCCTCTATAGGGGCTCAAAGTTGTTGCATACACAACGAGTTTCTCTCTTCCCGAATACCCAGGGCTAAAAAAGTTCAAACATTTTTTGAAACCAAACAGGGAATCCCAGAGAGGTTGAAGTTCTTCTATGGGCTAAGTAAGGAAACCCAAGGATCCTCAGTTTCCAAACCTGAAAACAACACTAAACTCTATGCCAGGGTCTTCGGAAACACAGTAGTTACCTGAATGCCTGGTACCCAAAACTTCTGAACTCCAACCAGTGGACCCCAAACCCAAATGTCCACAGCGAACCCCAAATGGCAACTCCTGTACTTTCAAAAACTTATGTCTAAACTCCTGAGCTCTCAAATCCCGAGCCTTGAACACATAAATCCTAAACCCTCAATCCCAAACCCTAAACCCTTAGCCCATTACCTTGAATCCCAAACCATGAGCCCCTAAACCAAGCCCCAGTCCGAAAGCTGAGCCCCAGGGTTTTAGGGCTTCAGGATTTTAGGGTGTAGGGCTGGACCCCAAAAAACTGCTAAGATAATATCCCTGTTTCACGTAAAGCAGCCCAAAAGGCAATTATTTTACATACTTTTGGGGGTTCAGGTAGGATGGGTTACTAAGGCCTTAATTAGAGCTCAGGGTTTATGCACAGTTTCAACGGGCTTTAGGTCTTTACATCCGCCTAAAACCTGAAGCTTGAATCCTGTATGGAGTGTAGAGATTCGGGGATTTAGGTGGTTGTCAAAATGATGGTCCCCTTTTGGATCCCTATTATAATACGGCACCTAATATTTAGGGTACCCAAAAAGGGACCATAACTTTGACAACCACCCATTTGAGCTCCGAGGCTGTTATAGGGTTTAGGGCCCCTGTGCGGGCGCATTCAGCCACATCCCTAAACCCTAAACCCATAGAGGCAATCTTGCGTTACTTACGCGCAAATTAGGATCCCTTGTATGCTGCAATTCCTAGGTTGTCAGGAAAAAACCTGTGGCCCCCAAGTTATTTTCAGCTTACTCAGTAAAAGCCATAAAGCTGTAGGGAATTGGGGTTACCGGTATAAGTTGCTGGAAGAGTTCCTCCATCTGCCGTGGAAGTTTGGGACAGAGTGCTAGTGGGGTTTTCCAGACGTATAAGTCTGCACCAGACCGGTTTAGGGTTTTGGGTTTAGGGATCAATATGAAGCCCAATGATGCTGATGATGCCGGCCTCTTGGCCTCATGTTGGCCCCAATTTGGGCGTAAGAGGCCAGCATCATAAGCATCATGGGGATTCTACATGATTCATTCAATTTACATAGTCATGTGTCTAGGGTTCAGGGTTCAGAAAACAGTGCTGGGTGAAGAATGTTATAACTAAACAAATAAACAGAGAGCGAATGGACATAACCTTTCAAACAGTGCATGCCGCTACAATACTTCAAGCTAAGCCCATTTGCACTTAGCAGAGTCCGAATAAGGAAGTTTGAGTCTTATAGCCAATACTGAGATGGTATTCCTTCTGCCCTTCTTGGCGCACGTGCCCACCCCGTTCAAGATTCATCTTGTGTCTGTCCTTAGGAACTCATCTTAATTTGCTCCCCATCAAACCCTAAACGGCTAGCAAAGTACAAAATATATCTCCCAAAGTTTTGAGTTAACAGAAGAACACAAATAGAATTCGGGGGTGGGTGGGGGGGGGGGAAGGGGATGAATGTCCAGGGACCGGGCGACTATCGCTGTTTTGAGGTGCTACCTTGCACTGGCCTGTTTGTGTGAGGTCCAGGGTTTAAGGTGCATATTTTAGGGTTTTGGCTGGTCGAACTAAGTCCTAAGCTACTCTCCTCTTGCAAGAGGTTTATACAAGGTTTCATGTTAGTTTTGGGAAAGCATTTTTCTTAAGAACAGGCTGTAATTGGCCTTTCCCAAAGGAGAAGTAGTATTCTACGCTGTGCTCAGAACCATATTATTACCGTTGAATATGCTACTCCAAAGGGAGTTGAGGTTATGTTATGTCTGTGATCTTGATTGACACAAGTCTTCACAGATGAACGGAACTACTACCAGGAAAATGCTAGCTGATCAGACCAGTTTCCACGTGGTTCAGGGTCGGGCTTGGGGCCTGTTCGCGGTTTAGCGTTTTGGGGTGTAGGGCCTGCGACTTCCAACCGGAAGGTCAGGGCAGCGCTGTTTCGCGAGGCTATTGCAGGTGTCTCCCACATTAGATGAATACACCCGGCGAGAATACAGTAACGGCCAGTGATATTGCTGGCATTGAACCACCCCAGACATCCCGCGCCGACCACGCACTTCCAACACTCTAAATCCTCCAACCCCACACGCCGCGAGACCCATCCCCTTAGCACCTAAACCCTCAACTCACTTTATGAGAAAGCCCTAGCCCGCCAACCCCTTAGCGCCTAAACCCTCAATTCAGTTTAACCTTGAAGCCTGAACCCTGAACCCTATGAGAAAGCCGTAGCCCGTCCTCCTCCTCTTTCCGAGCGCTCGAGCTTTTGCTGGGTTGAGATCCGGGCTTCCTCGGCGGAGGATTGCGACTTAGAGATGTAGGGTTTGGGGTTTAGCGTGGTTACTTATTAGTATTCGGGTTTCCGGAAAATTGGGGGCCTGCTTTTGGGGGGTCTCATTGTAAGAATTGCAGTAGATTGAGGTCTATTTCGGCTCCCCCTGTTTATCGAAAGCACCTCGTGGACTTAAAGGTTTAAGATCCTTGGCTTTAGGGCTTGGCATTTGGGGCTGAGGGGCTGCCATTTGAGGCGTAGGGTTAAGGTTCTCATTTTTGAGTCTGAAATATTGTGGATGTAGGGTTGAGAGTTTGGGATTTAGGGACTAGGATTTCGGGATTAGCGTCAGGGGCTTACGGTTTAGAGCTTTGGGTTTACGGTTCCGAGTAGTATTGGGTTTGGAGTTTGGCGAATAAGGAGTAGGATCAACAACAATCCTTTGGTAAGCTCTCCTGAACTCAATTTTCGCTCAGCAATATTTCTA